TACAAGCAGCACCCTGAGGGATGTTCCCAGCCCACGGCACCGCGCTCACCTCTCCGCAGCCGGCCCACAGTGTGGGAGAAGCCATAGTACTGGTACGTGTCGCTCTTGCCTGGGTCCTCACTGATGATGCCCAGATTCTGGTTCCAGTGGGACCAGTTCACCTCATCCACCCTGCGGGGAAGATCACACCTGGAGGGGCTGCACGGAGCAGCTGGGAGCTGGGGCAGCAGCTCCTGCATCCCTGCACCATCCTGCCACCGGCAATGCCACCTTGCACCAACTACCCAGCAAATGAACACACGGTGCCAGCACCCCAAAATGCTGCTCGCTGTGGTGGGAGAGGCTTTGGTGGGCCCCGCCTCTCCCCAGCTCCCCAGGGTCCCTGCCTTTACCTGAAGCACCAGCGGCGGTCGGGCGTCCCGTCGGTGCCCTTCCCCACGGTGACCATCTCCCCCGAGCGGAAGGCTTTCCGCAGAAACACTGGGAAGGAGCGCTCGATGTCCAGGATGGTGGTGGCCCACTGCCAGGGACAGCAGGGAACCCTCAGCCGCTTGAGGACAGAGGCATGGGGGTCCCCTCGCCCAGGTGATGCTGCTTTGATGGAGCTTGGGGCGTAGCGGTGCTGCAGCCCCTGGAACCCCCCGCCCGGCAGCTCCCGGCGTGGTACCTGCAGTTTCCAGATGTGCTTGCTCTCCTTGGAGACTTGGCCCACGGTCTCACCCATGAGGGCGATGAGCATGTTGAGGAGGAGCACGAAGGTGAGGATGATGTAGGTGACGAGGAGGATGATGAAGACGCCGGGGTACTTGGCGCTTTCGAGCATTTCCAGGTCACCCATGCCGATGGTGAGCTTGAAGAGGTCGAGTAGGAAGGTGCTGAAGGTCTGGCTGTCCCGGCAAGAGGGGTAGGTGGGCACCGTGCAGTTGGACTGCTCCTTCTCGCAGGACTCGCTGCTGGGACACGGGTTGAGGAGGGACACCAGAGCTGGGGGAGAAGGGACAGGGACGGCGAGTCCGCGGGGGCAGCTGGGGTCCACAATGGGCTCTCACACGGCTCCATGCTGGCTGAGCTCCTCTCCATCACGGGAGGAGGCAAAGGCTGAGCCCACAGGTGGGTAGGATGGAGTGGGGGCTCCACAGCCGGTGCCATGCCGTCCCAGTCCGTGCCGCGCCGCAGGGCTCGTCCTTCCCCCGAGCCCCAGCTCACCAGCCAGGTGCCTACCTGACGCGTAGCCGATCATGAAGAGCAAGTAGACCAGGAGGAAGCGGAAAAGGTCTTTGAAGAGGATCTGCAAGTGATGGAGAGTGGAGTGAGATGTGCTGGACCACGGTGCCCAGCTGTGTGCCGGGGCACCATCACCAAGCCATGTCGCAGGGGTGGCTGGGCTGAGGGCCGGGCATTGGTGAACCTCAAGAAATCCTAAAAAAAGCATGGAGGACCCTCCTTTTGGGCCACACATCCATAGGAGGACCAGCCCTGCTGGGGAAGGAGAAGACCTCCCATCTCACCAGACCTTCTGGATCATGATGCTGTAGGTCCCCGTCAGCTTGAGCCCCCGGGTGAAGTACAGGGCGTTCATCCAGCCCAGGACCAGCGCGAAGACCATGACGGCCAAGTACGCCTCGATGCCGCCCAGGTACAGCCCCGCTGTGATGATCACCAGCACCGAGTAGATGAAGCTGGAGGAGAGCTGGGGTCAGACTCGGCACCAACACCCACCGCCGGCTGCTGCCCCTTGCAAGCCCGGGGGTGCGGTGGCTTGCGGGGGTCCCCGGGGTTCCCCACGTACTAGAGCAGCTGGAAGGAGCCGTCTATGAAGAAGGAGTTCACGCCTGGGCACTTCTTCATGAACAGATCTTTGATCTGGAGGAGACAGGGAGAGGTTGGAAGGGGAACAAGCCCCTGCTTGGCAGGGTCCCAGTGTCCGGGGGGGGCATCACAGCAGGGGCTGATGCCTCGGGACACGGGGCCATCACCCTCAAGTCGGAGCCCACGGGAGGACCCCCCCTGTCTTGCCGCACTAACATTTGTGAAGAAGAAGAGGATGCCGGTGAGAAGGGTGATGATCTCCCCGGCCAGGCGCAGGTAGTCAACGGTCGTGGTGTACGGGTAGGGGGGCTGTGGGGAAAGGACAGAGCTGAGCTCCTCCACCATCCCAGGGCAGGCAGGGCTGCTCGGGGCAGAGACCCGGCAAACCCTCCTGCCAGGAGGTGCTGACCCATGGGGCTGTGCCACGGTGCCGTGGGACTCACGGGGCCTTCCATGGGGCGGTAGTAGGCGATGAGGGTGAAGATGACCATGGCGCAGAGGTAGGAGACCACGCTGATGTAGAAGGAGACGGCCCCAAACTTGCGCCACTTGTCACGCAGCAGCTCGTTGATGGGCTCCACGGCCAA